CATTCATCCATTGAGGGGCATCTGGGTGGATTCCATACCTTGGCTGAGGTGAAATAAGTGCTGCATTGAATACAATTGTGTAGGTGGCTTCACTAGATCTTAATTTCTACTCTTTTGGATAAATACCCAAGAGTAGAATGGCTGTATCATAGGGTAGTTTTGTGTTTAGTTTTTTGCAGCACCTCCATACTGCTTTCCAGAGTGTTAAACAAGTTTACATTCCTACAGTAGTGTGCTAGGGTTCCTTTTCACCAGCATCTGTTATTGTAAGAATTCTTGATGATGGTCATTCTCCTTTGTTACTCCTTCCTGTAATAGTTTCATGATTTTGAGTCTTACATTGAGGTCTTTGATCCATTTTGAACTGATAATGGTGCAAGGTGATACATAGGAGTCCGGTTCCAGTTTTCTGCCTATGGATTTTCAGTTTTCCCAATCTTCCAGTCTATGTTTTTTAGTCCCTTATCAAATATTAAATGGCTGTAGATTTTTTGGGTTTATTTCTGGGTCTTCTGTTCCATTAGTAGTTCTCAGGTCTGTTTTTGTGCCATTACCACCAAGTGTTTTTCATTACTATAGTTCTGTAGTGGAGTTTGAAGTTTGAAATTGTTAACCCCCAACACTACTTTTTCTGCCCAGGATAGCTTTTGTGATTCAGGACCTTTTGTGGTTCCATATGATTTTGGATCATTTTTTTCTATCTTGGTGAATAATGATGTTGTGATTTTGATGGGTATCACATTTAATTTGTAGATTACTTTGGGAAGCATTGCCATTTTCATGATATTAATTCTGCCAATCCAGGACCACAGTAGGTCTTTCCACTTCAGTTTCCTTCTTCAATATTTTGTAGTTTTTGTTGTGCCTCTACAGCTTTTTAAACTGGACAACATAAATATGTATTGGTGGTACCATTGGTAGTAACAAAGTGACCACTGACTAGCTCAGGCATCTTTAATCTACAATTGTCATTCATTGAACACAAGAACATACTGCTACTGCCAAGTTCAGAAAGATGTTCCTTTCTTAGTAGGAGTGTGTTTCTTTTTCATTAGGTGTTCCAGGTGAATACTAGATTGTTCACATATTTTCACCTGGCCCATGTTGTTAAGAGAAGAGTGACTGTGACAGCAAATACAGTTTGAACATAGAACAAACTTCTGTCTATGAGAAACTAACTGGCCCACCTCAGGATCAACTTTATTCAAGTTCCTGGCCTCATTAACTCTGTAGTCAGCTGATAGAGCTAGAATCTAAATGGAAATTGCCAGCTGTCCAAATAAGAATTCAAAAGGTAAAAGACAACATATATTTTCCAATATGAAGTAATTATTGACTGTACTGTCTATTTTTTTAAAAAGCATTTGAAGCTTAACATTGGTGGTTTATGCCTGTAATTCTAGCTACTCAGGAGGCTGAGATCTGAGGATGGTGGTTCGAAGCTAGCCCAGGTAGGAATGTCTGTGAGAATCTTAACTCCAATTAACTACTCAAATAAAGTTATAAGTAGAACTCTGGCTCTCAGGTGGTAGAGCACTATCCTTGAGCAAAAAAGCTTAGGGACAGTGCCCAAGCCCTGAGTTCAAGCCCAAGGACCAGCACCTAAAAGCATTTGAAATTTAACTCCCCTCATGTATTTGGTGTCTTAAGCCTAAGAGTATAGCCCAGGGAATTATTTATATATATTTCAGTTAATCCAAAGAAAAGAAAAGTGTTACTAGTATTTTCATGTCTCTCTGTAGATCCTGTTTACCTCGTGATTGTTATTGATCAAGTTCTAAAAGAATTTTATAAAACTTCATTAATCTTTATATTAAATGTTTCTAATTTTACATTTATTTAGCTAATTACTAATTGGCAAGTGCTAAATTTAGGTACTTTGGCTTAATCCTTATGACAACATGGTGTGTGATACATATTTTTAGCCTTTTCACAGATGAGGTAACGCATTGTGACTTACATAAGAGGAGTAGAGCTTGGGATTCTTTGTGCTTCAGAGCACAGCTCTGAACCAGCTCTCCATGTGCTAAGAGTACATGCATGATGCCCAGGGAGAGTTAAAAAGTGTCTATATTCACATCGGGCACCATTTGCTCAAGCTTGTGATACTAACTACTTAGCGGGCTAAGATCTGAGAATCCTAGTTTGAAGCCAGTCAGGGCAAGAAAATCCATTGAGACTGATATCTCCAATTAACCACCAAAGAGCCAGAAGTAGAACTCTGGTGTAAGTGGTAGAATCGTAGCTTTGAGCATAAAAGCTCAGGTATAGTGTCCATGCCATGAGTTCAAGCCCCAGGACTAGCACCAAATTTTTTTTTTTTATGTTTAGCTAACTGTTCTCATTCTTACCACTCAAAAGTATGGTCTTCTTTTACATAATCCTATTAGCAGCGATAGTCTTTTGTATGGTTTATGATAGTGGCAACCTAGTTACACTGGAATGAGGTAATCTTTGTTTCTTCAGTGCTTACATTCTGTTTCCCTAGATTGTCTCTTAGTCTCATTTTTCCATGTAATACAATAGAAATAATATAAACAGCAAGTAGTATAAATCATTTTACTTTTTCTTTCATATAGACTCCTTACCTACAATTTATAACATTCTTAAAACTTTTAAATTCTTCTATCATTCTTAAACATTCTTAAAGTATATCTATTGATCAGAATTTAGATTTAGCCTGATTATTTCATCTAGCCTTTCCATGCAGTAGCTATTTTATGTGGCCCCTAAAGACGGAGTTAGAACCATTATAAACTGGTATTTTCTGCCTCTCTGTTACCAGTGGCTTGCAGTGAGAGATTGCTATGATAAAAGTCATCACCTCAGTGTCTTTGGGCAGAACCGCTCAATTACTTGTCATCAAATTTTCTCTTTCCAATAAGATTTTTCTCCAGAATCCATGTCTGTAAGAGTTCAACCATACCAAATAGAGGGAATCTTGTCTTTTGAGGTATAATATGATGTTTTAATTTTTTTTACTATGTATATTTTATTGTAAAGATACTGTACAGTTACTGTACAGTAACTGTTACAGTTACATGAGTACATTTCCTATTGAGCATTGTTACCCCCTCCTTTGTTTTTCCCCTACCAACCTTTTCCTCCCTACCTCCCCAAATCCTCCACACACACACACACACACACACACCCGCACAAGTTGTAAAGTTTGTTTTTAACATAGTGTCTTGTACATCTCATTGTTACAGTGGGTCAACCTGTATCCTTATTTCAGCATTTTGTTATTTCCCTTCCTAGAGGGAATCTTTATAAGTCCAGATATTTAGTAGATTTAAAATTTAGGATAATAATAAGTGTGACTACTTGTAGAGTCGCTAGCTCTTTAGATTAAACAAAGATAAGTCAAAGGCAGGGAAAAGATTGCATCCTCATTGGCCTAGAATTATGAATTGAAATTTGAGGAGTTTGCCTCTAACATAGATCCCTTGAAAGCTAGCTTAGGAAATCCTATGAATGTAGGTATCTGTAAGCCCAGCTCTGTATGAGGTAGAAGGTACAGGCAACCCTGAAAAAGTAGTGAGATCCTGTCTCAAAAACAAAATACAAGTAAAAGGACCAAAGGTGTAGCTCTAGTAATAGACTGCTTATCATCCAATCTTAAATGAGACCATGGTTCATTCCATAATACCGTAGTGGGGAGGAAAATATAAGAGTCCTATGAAAATCCAGCAGATCAATGATAGATCATATTGTAGCTATTTAAGCCTGAGCTGGCAAAGTTACACAGTCATCTTACCTCTGAAGAGAAAATTGTAGCAGGTCTTTAGAAAAGTCATCCAAAATAAATAATTGTGTTAATGAGTAACAATCATGATGTAAATAAGATAAATCTAAAAGGTCAATGTATCATAACATTTTCATTTTTCTTGACAAAATTGTACACCTTTAAATTACACCCTTGACTATGCTTTTAGACATAAGAGCCTCTTAAGGTGAGTGGATGACTGTCATATCCCAATTTGGGAGTTACCTCTTTTAAGATTGGCCCTCCCCTCTTCCCCAAGTTAGGTACCACTCCTCAGAACTCCTCCTGTGTCCAGCTATGCTGCTGCTGGAGTAGGCCTCCCTGTGAGCCCCTTGAGTACAAGATCCAGCTTTCCAGCCTTGTATTCCAATGTCAGGTATATGCCAGTGGTATTCAGTAAATGCTTTGGAGACCTTTTTGAGTTCTCAAAGCTTTAATTTCTAAACCTTTTCTGTTGTATGAGAAAATAAGCAGTCCTTGCCGTTATGAAGTGGATTTATTTACCACTCCATTAGCTGACAATCACTTTACTATAAAAGGAATTTGGTTTTCCCTAGCTTTGTGACAAGAGAGCTAACTTGTCTCTGAATTAATTTTTCCAGGCTCTGGTCTCGAATCCCTTCAGTGAAGGAATTGACCAGATATTCTTTGTGTTCTAAAATGCTGCAAAGCTGTGTGGTCTGGAAGCCGAGTAGCTAGAGAAAGACAAGTCAACTGTCAAGTAAAGTTGAGTCTTCTTCATCCAACTACAGACTGGCTCAGTAACCTAGACTTACCAAGTTTTTCTACATAGTGCTGGAGACTTATTTATTGTGCATTTGAGATTTATTGACCATGGTGTGTCAGAGGCAAAACAAATGCTACCTAACTTGGAACTGTAAAAATTAAGTTACATCAGTTTATTTTGTATTGGTTTTGTTTTGTTCTTTCCTCTTTTATATGAAAACTTGATTATTCACCTGTGGAAATTAGGAAATAACATTAATTATGATATTCTATTCTTGTTAATGAACGTATTTTGAAAAGTTATATCTTTAAAATGTTTGAAATATACTGAAAAAAATTTGAAGTATGTTTTAAATATTGGTCATTATATTTAATATTGCCTCAAAGTTGAATAAAGTATATGAAACAGATGCAAAAGTCTCAACATTTCAAATTTTATACTTTTTCTTTTCTTCCTAATCAATAATTCTGACTTTTAACGTTTGCTTTTTGTTTTATGTACTTTCAGCTCATTTAGAGGCTAGTTTTGAGGAGGTTGAAAATCACTTGCTGCATCTGGAGGATTTGTGTGGGCAGTGTGAGTTAGAAAGACACAAATATGTGCAGTCTCAGCACTTGGAGAACTATAAGAAAAATAAGAGGTGAGTCTGAAAACCTGGCTACAATGTTTGTCTTCAGTTATCCACATTGCTCCACATTCCATTCTTTATATATTTGGACTGATGAAAGACAGTAGTAAGTTTTCCAAAATGTGTGTATTTAAAAACAGAATCCCTGTTACCATTGTATAGAGATGAGTTGTAAAAAGCTAAGGCTAGGGCAAAGAATGTATAGGATGGGAGAGAGCAGAGCAAAGGGCAGAGTTTCCAGCAAGTAAGAGGAATTAATTGAGCTGCTTTGTTCTTTTTTTTTTCCTCCTCCTTTAATAGTAGTCAGGAGAAAGGGTACCTGAGCCTAGGCTGTAGAGAGAGGCTGGATAAGTTTGAATTTCAATTCTTGTCTCATATAAGCTGTTGGACCTTTGGGAAGTTAATCTCTCTTAGCCTGAATGCTACTGGCTTATAAGAGGGACAGTAATTCATCAGTCTCATAAAGTTGTGTTGAGGGTTGACTGATGTAATTATTATCTAATTCAGCTAGTACTCTGAAGATATCATAATACTTAAAATAATAAAGATTGTTGATTTAGTGATTGTTGTCACCATGCTATCCTGAAATGAAAGAGAAGTCTGAAGGTAACAGCCTGTTACACTGGCTGTGGCATCTCAGCTCTACAGCATCCGGCTAGGGCAAGGAGGGAAGTTGCAGAGTGAATATCTCTGAAGCTCATGGGGAGTCCAACCACCATATTATTGAGGGGGCCACTGAGCTACTGAGGGGGCATGAGACTAGCTGACATTAGAATGGCATAGCAGGATGGAACTCAGTTTTCCATGGGGGATGGTTAGAGGGAAGAAAACAGAAGTCATGGGTTTGGAGTGTGGCTAAGGCTGAAAGGTAGGTTTGGTGGGAGAAGGCTGTATAGGTTGGATGGAATACACTTATACTCTTAAGATTATTGATTATCTGACTGGGAATATAGGGTTGATGATGTGGATAAGAGGTGTGTAGAGACATCAAGAAAAAACATGAAATATTTATTGAAAAATGACCAAGAATTTTGCATCTAGTTTTCTAGTAAGACATTGGACTTGTGATTTTAATTTAACTTGAAGTCCTGTATTTAGTTTTGTTATTTCATATTAAAAGAAATTCAATTCAGATGGTATATATACTCTGGAATTTGGAGAAGGACTGTGAATTTAAAGTCAGCCTAAAATGCATAGTGATACCCTATCTCTTAACTAATTACTTGAGTTATTGAGAAAGAGAATATCTGAAAGAGATATGTAAGCTTGGATTTCTTCTCTGCCACATGTTTGTTCTTTTGCAAATGGTTTATTGTTACCTTTCTTACCTATAGAATAGACATAGAATTTGCAACAGGGTTATTAAACCAGAGACCATTTTTGTTTTGAAAAAGGTCAACTATAGCAGCCTGCTTAGCCCATAAATCACTAGAATTTGTGAATTCTGGCTAGTGTCTTTAAATGCAAATATTGGAAAAAATATAACCTGAAATCTTTCTGAAATTCTGAGGGCATTTTATTCAGCTTGATGAATTATCTTTATTTTTCTGTGTGTGCCAATACTGGGGCTTTATTTTTCTGTGTGTGCCAATACTGGGGCTTTTTTTGGCTCTTTTGCTCAAGGCTAACATACTACCACTTAAGCTTCACCCTGTATCTGGTTTTTTGCTGACTGATTGGAAGTAAGACTCATAAATGTTTCTGCTTTGGCTAGCTTTTGAATCTAGATCCTCAGATCTCTGCCTGTTAAGTAGCTAAAATTACAGGTGTGAGCCATTTGTTTCTGGCTTAGCTGAGGTCTCTTTAAAAGAAATGTTTGGGAAACAATTGAGTCATATGTACAAGGTGGATTAATACTTGGTATAGTGTAAATAATTTGAGAGAACCACAGAAAGTTAAGCATATTATTCAGTCAAAGATAGATTGACCAAAAATACCTTTAAATAAATCCTTTAGAATGTTTTCAATTCAGAAATGCATATTTATGTTTTAAAGTATTTCTTCTTACTCAAAATAAGGAATATGATGAAGGCTATGTAATTATTAATCCAGACCCTCCACTTAGCAGAATAAACAATCATTTATTTATCTTTACTGAAAAACTCACTGAAGTGATGAGAAAATTGAAAGTTGTAATGCAGAAGATCAAGAAGACAGAGGAAGTATAGAACAGAAGTAGTGTTCACATCTTATAGGATGACAGTAGACAGATGGATGTCAGCTGATTGGCAGAGCAGGCTGAAACCTAAGCTGCACCTATATATCCCCTGTGCAGATCAGACAGTTCATGTGAGAAACTGACCAGATCTCAAAAACAGACTGGCAGACACAGACACTTAGACACACCCTTAGGAGACAGCTGGGTGTGTATCCCCTGCAAAACTTGAGTCTATTTCTGGAGCTTACTCTTAAATATGAATGCACAGCTGAGGAATCATATTTAACACGGGAAAGCTTCCAAAATGTAGGAACCAAAATCAGTACAAAATAAAACTAATATTTTTTAAACACAGGAAAAAGAATCTGAGAGGAGCATAAGAATCATTTAACTTTTCAGCTAGTCAAGCAAGCACTCTACCACTTAGCTATATATCTCCAATCTAGAAGAAAATTTTAAACAAATAAATAACGATCTCAATTATATGAAGATTCACTAACAATTGATTACTTTGCATGTATGATATAGAACAGAAGGATTACTGTAGAAAAAACAATTAGAAGAAGCTCTTAGAAATTAGGTACATGATGGCAGATACAGGAAACATGAACAGAAGCACTGGAAGATAATATGAAGTGCCTGTATAAGAGAGCAAAAAGACAAAAGCTATAATTGTGAAGAAAATTTATAAGCCCTATTATCACTATAAGCTTCAAAAAGAGGGAAAAAAGGAAACAAAAAAGAGAATAGAAGGCAGTCCAAAACTGAAGAATATGGATGTTTGAGTATGAAAAGGTCTGCTAATTACCTAACAAAATAAGTGGGTAAAGGACCCATCGTCAGTATTTGTAAAATTTACTTCATTAGGACTGAGGGTAATAAAATGCTTAAGAAAGATTTTATATTAAGGATCAAAAATCAAAAGGAAATTCTACTGTTTAGCAGCAACATTTGAAGTAGAAAATTATTGGTAGAGTATGACTATTTACATAGCAAAATTAAATATGAAGAAACAATAATTTCTAGAAAGGTTCCAGTTTAATTTATGTACACACTTCAACAGGAAACTACTGCAGGACAATATGCTCTGTACATGAGTAAACCAAATAGAAGGACGATTCAGCACAGGAGAGAGGCAGTGCGCCCTAGGATTTCATTCAATTCAGAAAAAAGGCAGAAATTTTCCTAGATGTGGTGACAGAAACCTCAGCAGCCTGGAAAACAATGGTTTATCTCACTAGAAGAGGGGAAGAAGTGAAACTAGTAGATTAATATGCTTGACTGTCCAGGGGAGTTTTATAATCTTGTGTGGAATGTTTGGTGGTGAATTAATAATAAGCTTTTTTTTTTTTTTGTCATTTGTGGGGCTTGAACTCTGGACCTGAGCACTATCAGCTCTTCAGCTCAAGGCGAGTACTCTACCACTTGAGCAGCAGCGCCGCTTCTTAGTTTCTGGTGGTTTATTGGATAAGAATCTCACAGACTTCCCTGCCAGGGCTGGCTTTGAACCTTGATCCTTAGATCTCAGCCTCCTAAGTAGCTAGCATTATAGGCGTGAGCCACTGATGCCTGGCTAATAATAGTCATTTTTTAAGCATGCGTGGCAAAAGAGAACTTTGCAAGAAAGAAAATGAAACTATATCACACATTTGTAAATAATATTCACATAGTATTATAATAAATATAGAATTATGATAGGGGAGAGTGATATACTATTTGGAAATAACAGGTAAATACTAGAAGACATAACAGGAAGAGTATAATGTGACTGCTGGTAAAAAGCTGGACAGAAAGGTAGAGAGGGTGGGGACCAATCTTCATTAACAACCAGCATTTGTGGGCACAGTTGAACTTAGGGAATATACCTGTACTATAAACATACAAATAAAGTATTTTATATTAGCAGAAGCTTTCCTGAAGTGTTTTACATGGAATACTAGATTGAAAAGGTAGTTTCTGATAAAATGTTTCCAGAAATACTTTATCCTACAAACCTGGAGGTTTATAATACATGGCAGTGCAGTAAAGGCTCTAAGAACTACTGGAGGCATTTGTTTGACTCAGCCGACTTGCTCACAGAATCAATTTGCATGTGATGCATATTAAAAATAAGCTACTTAGTACTCTACCCAACACTGAAATTTTTAAATATTGATTCACAAAGGAAGAGTTTCTTGGAAATCTTCCTTTGTATCAAAATGCTGTATAAAAACTAACCAGTTTTATTTTTTCAGTACATGAAAATAAAGTGTTTTACAGCGTTTTTTTTTTAATCTCAGGATATCTTCCGGGGCCTGTCGTGTTTTTTATCTTGCTCAAAGGTCTTCTGGAAATGTTCTGTTGTGATTACTGGTTCAGCCCATTCTAGAGCCTCCCATCTTAGCTTTTGTTTAAAAAAGGGCTGCAACAGCTGGTGGACTTACATCACCAGTTCAGTAGAAGCAGAATACCTTAAGAAAGGGTATCTCAATGAAAATTAAAACCAGTGACCTACTTAGATTTCTTTTATCTGTAGATTTGGATAATAGACCTGTGTTAGTGGGTAGCATTTTAGGAAAAGCTTTTAAAAGGTCCTCTGAAGCTTTCTAGGCTTTGCCTTACCAAATGGGGCTTGCTGAAAATTATACCAATTTTTCTATTTCATCTGTTTTTTGCTTTCCCACATCCCATCAATATGTGTGTTAATGGTAGAAGTCAGGTACATTGGAATCTTAGGTTCCAATTAAGACCCTGAGGATTTTTATTTTTTATTTTTTTTTGTCGGTCATGGGGGCTGAACTCTGGGCCTGGGCACTGTCCCTCAGCTCTTCAGCCCAAGGCTAGCGCTCTACCACTTGAACCACAGTGCCACTTCCAGCTTTTTCTGCTACTGTGGTGCTGAGGAATTGAACCCAAGGCCTCATGCATGCAAAGCAAGCACTCTACCACTGAGCCACCTTCCCAGACCCCTGAGTGTTTTTAATGACAGGGTAGAGGTAACTGTTGAACATGAATTTTGACGTAGAGTCCTTCCTGCATGCACATGCTAACTTCTTCATTTGATAGCAAAATACTTTATAGTGAATGTCTAAATGAGCAGTGCCAGACCTTTCCTTTAAAACAACTCAGTTCAGGCCTGGGAAGGTGGCTCAAGGCTAGCACTGAATGACATGAGCCACAGTGCCACATCCAGTTTTCTGGTGGTTAATTGGAGATAAGTCTCATGGACTTTCCTGCATGGGCTGGCTTTGAAATGTGATCCTCAGATCTCAGCCTCCTGAGAGGCAACATTTACAGGTGTGAGCCACCAGCGCCCAGTTTGGATATTATATTTTTTCTAATGTAGGAATTACGGTCCTGGAGAACTATTAGAAAAAGGAAGTCATTTAGGAAAAGAGGAGTCGGTGACCATCTGATTTAAGAACCTTCACTTACCTGTTGCAAAAACATTATCCACTTGGTCTGCCTCTGGCAGGTCCTGCCTGCCTGCTGTTCATTGTATTCAGCTGTCTTGGAACACAAGTGGGATGTTGACCTGATACCAAACACATCTAGAGTTTTAGCAAAACATAGACTGCACAAAAACTTCCAAATTACTTTTATCAGTATGATATATATATATGTAATTAAAATATATATAGAATAAAGTATATATAGAATAAAACTGTAAATATAATTTAACTATTATGTGGGAAACCTGAAAACAACTTGCTTTGGCTTCTTTGTTACAAACTACTTAGTTGATAGTCAATCATTGTTTTCCTCTACAGTTCATTTCCTCAGGAAACATTGCATTTCAGCACATGGATATTACTGGAGGCATGGCCTTTTGTGGCAGGATATGCTGTGGGCCTCAGTTTTTTTTCTGTGTGTTTTCCCCCTTTCGTTCTTGGTACTTCTCTCCCCTTGCTCAAAGGGGAAATGGTTACTCTGGTCTAGTTAGTTTTTAATGAAATCTATTTGGATTATCAATAAGGAAACATTGTAATATGGGCTTTTATAAATTCTTGTATGAATGAGATGCTTTGTGGCTAGATTAAAATGTCTTCTGTATTCTTATAAAGTTTAATATTTTATATAAAAAATTATATATATGTATATTGGGGTTCTGATACCAGGATTTGAACTCGGCGCTTTCATCTTGCTTTGTTTGCTTGCTAGGCTATTACTCTTATCACTTGAGCCACAACTCCAGCATGTTTTCTTGCTGGTTAATTAGAGGGATCTCATGGACTTTTCCATCTGGGCTAGCTTTGGACTACTATTTTCTGGATCTCACATTTCTGAGCATCTAGGAGTGCTGCTGTGAGCTAGCTGGAGTTTTTATTATCTCAGTTTTATTGGCAGTATCTAAAGCACATGCTTGCTTCTCTCAACAGCCTGATCAGGCCACATCTTCACAGCCTGTTTGATCTGATACTTATTGGCCTTGACCTTCACGGTGGGCAAAAAATGTGTTGTCTTTCATCTTCACAGCCAATTCAGTGGTCCCAGGAGCTTGACAGTGGCAACATCTGTCTCCTGAGGTCACTCTTCCAAGGGCACCTGGGTTGGGAGGACAGGAGATGTGCCTCCTTTCTTTTGTGGTGGGTAAGCCCTTCTGCACTGCCTTTAAAGCCTTTGCTTTGGCTTGGCTTTGGGAAGGGCAGAAGCTTCCTTCGTCATTTTACACCATCGTTGGAAAAGATGTTCTAGTGTGTGTATTTGTGTGTGGGTGTATTTTAATGGCACTGGGTTTTGAACTCAGGATTTAGGCTTGAGCCGCTTCTTCACCTCCACCTCTTTAGCTTTCATTATTTTGTGAAGAGGGTCTCATTTTTTTGCTCAGCGCTAGCCTGAGACTGGTTCTTCTATGCCTCCAAAGTGTATAATTTTTTTTATTATAACGTAGAGCAGAGTCCTGTGAATAGATTTATTTTAAATTTGCATTTTCTTTTTTTTTGTCTCCTACAGGAAGGAACTTGAAGCCTTCAAAGGTAATTATGTTTCTCACTCTAAAGACTTTGAGAGCTAATTGATGTCAGATGTTCTCTTGATGATGATGAAAAGAACTCCTTTAAAACCAGACAATTTACAGCAAAGAACAGAAGTTTTCATAATACTGTTTTTAAAATTACAAGTGTGTTTGATATTCTTTTAACTATAAATACCTGCTAATGACCATAAGTAGTCTGTTTGAGACCATGCTGTGAGGTTTTGAGAGTCATGATTGAAGAAGATTCTATTTTGTATCCTGTAAATCTTGGGAACATAGAGAGAAGAGGGGTGGTAGGGAATCAGAGGGGAGAGAGGATGGCTGGCATGAGGGAGGGGAGAAAGGATGGCCATGACATCAGATCCAGACTGGGGCCCCTCAATGAGTGTGTTTACAGTTGCTCGCCCCTCCTGAGAGGTTTCCGGTGTCAGACTGGATTCTGCTCTGATGCTGTCTCTCACTTTTGCAGGCTCAGTTTCTCCAGTAAAATTAGACACTCTGATGAGACATATTCTGAGATGCACAAAGCAATCTAGAATTGTCGTTCACTTTAGAGAGCTCTTAAATGAGGAATACTGAAGAATTCTTGGTTGTGCTAACATTGTTCTTGGAGAAATGCTGGTGAAAACAAAAGACCACAAACTTTCCAGCAGCTCAGCTCCTTCCATTTGGCAATTAAGTAGAAAGAAATCACTGTTCTCAGGAATTAATGTCAGTATCAGGGAAGACCTTAAATTACTTATGAAAACCTCCAACTTGTTTCATGCTTATTATATTCACATAAACTAGCACTGGCCTTTGTATTTGTTGACTGATTAAAGGTTTTTCCAGTATATTGTTGAATTGTTAATGTATCCAATCCAGTTGGATGTTGTAGACAGATGTGTAAAAGGCATGAAGACTTACTCCTATTCTAGATTTGTTTTGTCTAGATTTCTATTTGGGTCTCTGTAGCTGTAGTGAATGATTGAGTTCATGGCCAATTGTTGATGACAATGTTAAATGATCATGTTATATAATGCATTATCATATTTTTTGATTTATAAACCACTAATTTGTTCTTGAATTTGTGAACCATGAAGAATTTTAAACTCTTCATGAAATGCACTTTTTCCTCTTGTTTCTTTTGATTGACTAGCTTAGCATCTTATGTAACATTAAGAGCTGGAAAGAAACAATCATGTTAATGTTAAAAGACAGGCAGAAACACGTGTTATGTAAAATGTCAGCTTTACTTGCATGGCAGTTGAAGCATTCTTTTTTTAGTTCAGCCCTCTTCACAGAAGAAACCATCTCTTTGCAAAAGGTGAGGTGGTATTGCATACTGCTAGATAAATTCAATTTAGGCTAAAATAGCTTGTTTATACACAGATCCCTAATTATGTACAACATTTAACAGCACATCCCATCCACCCACAGGAAAGTTTATGAATTTGAGTAAATCCTACATTGGAGTGTTGTGACATATCTAGAGTTTTAGTATCAATGGTTCATGAATAGTTTTTTGTTCTTGCACTGGGTGCAGTGACAGTCATTGTGGAGGCTGAGGTAAGAGGGTCACTTGAGTCTAGGAATACAGGACCAAAAGGACACAGTGAGTATTTTAAAAAAGTTTTTCTCTTGAATGTTTTGCTAGTATTTCAAAGTGGAAGTAGCCTATGACAAGAAAAGCAGAAGTTCCTCCACAGTGTTGGTGGTAAGATAGGGGAAAGATCTAAAAATTCTTTGCAAACCCATTGTAACTTTTTTTAAAATCTGTCTCAAAAGACCAAGGCCATAATATACTACTATACAGGAAAATGTAACAATTACATGTGCACCCAATAACACAGCTCCTGATTATATAAAGCAAAGATTGGTGGAATTGAGATGACCAAAAAAGCAACATAATAACAGTGGGAAAACTTCAATACCTGGCCATTGGATAGAAAAATAAGATAGCAAATCAATATGGAAACACTGAGTTGTAAAAACACTATAGACTTAATAGACCTAACAGATAAATTCCACTCAATACCATCAGAATAATTCTTCTTAATTGCCATAAATCTGACTAGTCTCCTTACTAGATTACTTTTCTTTGTTTTTACTTTTCCAACTTTGCTTTTGGGTTTCCTTTTTATATTGCAGAAAAGCAAAGCTGTTACCTCCTACAATTATTTTAATCACTTTGTGCCTGTATTTAGGAGCCCTTTTCTAAATTGAGGGAAAACTGTCTCTCTTAGGAATCAAAATATGAAATTAGAAATCCTCAGTGTTAGATAATATAGATTAGTATCATTCATTGAGTTCTGGACCCTCCCTTCCGAACTCCATGGAAGTTGATGGCTTAATTTCACCAATCACTTCTGCTATACAGGGAAGATGTTTTTTTAATGATTGTTAAAGGGTTTTCCACATTCTAAATGTTCCATTCCGTTAAGCTCTGTGTGTGTGTGTGTGTGTGTGTGTGTGTGTGTGTGTGTGTGTGTGTGAGTGATAGTCATTTAAATGTAGATAGTATTTTTTTTTTTAAAAAAAGGAGATATTTGGGGGTAAGAGGTGACTGATAACTGAAGATGGAACCTAGAGCTTGGCAAATTTTAGGCAAGTGTTCCGCTGAACTACCTCCCAATACCTTTTAATTTTAATTTTTTTCTTTTGAGAATGTCTCTTAGTTGTCTAGACTAGCCTGGAGCTTGTGATCCTCCTGTTTCAGCCTCCCGAGCAGCTAAAATTATAGGCATAGGCTACTATATCTGGCAAAAGTAGGATCTTAAAAGACTAATTTTATGTTTTTATTAGGGAAAGAATCCCATTATTGTAGGCACATTCAGAGTAAGTTTTTGTCATGGAAAATTAGCTATATGTAGACTTGTCTGTAATTAGGGGTTATTTTACTTAAAAAATTGTCATTCTATGTGTACCTCTTAAAAGTGCGTCTAAGTTTTTTTTAAAGTGAAGTCTGGAAACGTTGTGCCACTGAAAAGCATCAAGGGGAAAAGGTCTAGGAGTGAATGTCTTTTAAGTCCTAAAATTCCTGGCTTAATATGACCTTAATATGTGCACATGCTCCTTTATTTTCAATTAAGTACCTTGCTGAATTAACCATCATTCTCGTTTTCTCTGTAAAACTTACTCAAAGCATAAATTCTTTTTAATACACATTTTTATTGTAAAGATACTGTACAGAGGGGTTACAGTTATATGAGCAAAGTAATGAGTCCATTTCCTATCAAGCATTGTTACCCCCTCTCTTTCCTCTCTACCTCCCTGCCTCCTTCCCCTTTTCCCCCCAGCAAAGTTGTAAAGTTCATTTTCAACATAGTGTCTTGTATATCTCACTGTTACAATGGGTCATCCTGTATCCTTATTTCAGCATTTTGTTATTTCCCTTCCCCTCCCCAAACTAGAAAAATGTATATATAAGATCAAAGCATGAATTCATTTTTTTTTTGGAGGGGGGGGTCTGGTCGTTGGGCCTGAACTCTGGGCCTGGGCACTGTCCCTCAGCTCTTCAGTTCAAGGCTAGCTTGCTCTACCGCTTGAGCCACAGCGCCACTTCTGGCTTTTTTCATTTTGCTTATGTGGTGCTGAGGAATCGAACCCAGGGCCTCAGGCATGCAAGGCAAGAACTCTACCACTGAGCCACCTTCCCAGCCCCAAAGCATGAATTCTTATACCTGGTAGGCTACTGGCTAATATTCCCAAATACTTATTTCCACTTGGCTTACAAAGTCATTTATACTAGTTGTTATGGTAAAATGCAGTTTAGATAAATATCAGATAAAATGATGAAATTTCAGTGTTAAGAACCGTAATAAAGCGGTGTGTCTGTGCAGGAAGTGAGACTAACTCAGAGTTACCAAAGCATAAAAAGGCTGAAGGTATGGCTCATAATAGAGCTTCTGTTTAGTAAGTGTGAGGCCCTGAGTCCCAACCCCAGTATTATCAAAAAGGGAGGAGAAAAGGAGAAGGGGCTAGACTGAGGTTTCAGTTTAAGATCTTACAGATGGAAGAGTTCCTGTGATGCTGGCTGCATTTAAGTAAAAATAGAAATCATGAAATAGAAGATGTCTTCTGGACTAGAGAGTTAGGAGACTATTAGAAGTCTCAGGTTTAGTTGATTGGAATGTGAAGGGTATTGTAACTATGCTTAATCCTCAAGGAGCTAAAGTGCTATGACAGAGATTGTAGGACAGAAATAAATATGTAATTTGATTGTAACCTTGGGATAATAAGCACACAGAGGTTGACGTGGCCAACCAGAGGTAAGGACACACACTCACAGGGCTGAAAAGAACAATAGACATTCCAGAAAGAAGAAAGAACAGGTACAAAGATGCAGCCGTGTTTATTTCAAGAATTCAAGCTAAAGATTAATTTCTTACTTATTGAAGGAAATTCAAAGATTTTTCGTGTCTGAAGCATATGGTATGTGGGGTGAAGTGGAGCATGTAGGCAGCAACAGATGATACACAGTCTTGTGTCGTGCACAGGAATTTGGATTTTCCCTTTAGATTGGTGGTCTCCATGGGAGGTATGAGTATACAAAATAACATGAGTAGTAGAAGCCAGTGGCTAACCCCTATAATCCTAGCTACTCAAGAGGGTAAGATCTGAGGATCATGATTCAAATCCAGCTTAGCCCAGCCTAGCCAGTAAAGTCTGTGAGACTTTTTAGCTCCAATTAACCACCAAAAAGCTAGAAGTAGAGCTGTGGTTCAAATGGGGGAGTGCTAGCCTTCAGCAAAAAAGTCAAAGACAGTACTCAGGCCCTGAGTTCAAGCTCCAGGACTGTACACACACACACACACACGCGCACACACACACACACACACACGCGCACACACACACACACACACACACCAAAAATGAGTGAAAAAACGAGAACTTCTTTTTGTTTCTTCATGTGTAGTATGTAATATACAGTTCAGGAACTCATTAATTGATAGGCGAATATACATACTTAATGGTGCATGTTACAATGTTACTCAGCCAGGTGCTGGTGGCTCATGCCTA